AGCAAGCAGTTTCAGAGTCAAGATTCGAATTTAGGAGATGGGAATGGGAATTTGAATCAGAATCAGAGTCAGCAGCAAGTGGTGACTAATGGGGTTGATGGTAATGGTGGGGGAGTGTTTGGAATGGGAGGGCCTGGTTCAAGGCCAATGCAGGACATGTGGATGGGACCTAATGATACCCATATGGCCGGTTTGCCGCCTATGTTTCCTGGGAGTGGACCGCCGGGGTCATTGATGGGGGGTGCTCCTAGTCCTAGAGTAATGGGCATGATGGGCATGCCTAGAGGGATGAGTGGTGTTCCTCCAATGCATAGAGCTGGTAGTTTGGGGCCAAATGCAACAATGGATAGCCCCAATTCGATGTCTCATAAGCCTAGGAGTGAAGAGGAGGAAATGAAGGATCTTGAGGCATTGTTGAATAAGAAGACTTTTAAGGAGTTGCAAAAATCAAAAACTGGTGAGGAGCTTTTGGACCTGATTCACCGGCCAACTGCTAAGGAGACTGCTGTGGCTGCCAAGGTTTGTCAAATGTCAATACTTTTACTTGTATTGTTCTTAATAGACTCATTTAACTGGTTCTCTGCATAATCTGGAAAGCTTTTTTTTTTTTTTTGGGTCAATAACCTGGAAAGCTGGTATATGTAAAAAATATTTCCTGTCTGCTATTTAAGCTATAAATAGGCTTAAGATCACAAATGATCGTGTTTTACCCTATATGTCGAAGGTTTATAGATAAGTTCTTCGGCTTTAATTTTGTTAATAATACCCTTGTGGTCTACTCCGTTACCAATTTTTAGTAAATCTCTACCTTCCATGAATGTGTGTTATTAACAAAATTGAAGATTTGAGTAAACTTGGTAACCAGCGTAGACCACATGACTTACCTTCCACTCAACTTGTCTCCAAAGAGACTCGCAACATGTACTGTAAACCACATGGATCCTTTGTGAGTAGTGAAATGGGTGGAAAATGGCCATAATGCTCCTGCACCTGATGTGCACGTGGATGACCGGTTACAAAAATTGACGGAAATTTCACTAAAATTGGTAACAGATGTAGACCACAAGAGTTACTATTAACAATACTAAACAACATGACTTGTCATATAGGGTATGTGTGACAGTAATGCCACAACCACGTGGTCTTACTAATCAAGCACCAAAATTATAACACGTGGTGGCGACAGGTTTATAGTTTAGGGTTATTACTAAATATACACATGCTAAAACACAGGTGGATTGGTAACACTGCGTAACACCGAAAAATTACATGGAAACTGCAAGGACCGTTTATGCTTTTAGACTTTATAAGTATTGATGTGATATTTTCAAATTTTGTGTTCTCTTCTCTGCTTATTGACCAAGAGCACCAAAGCAATGATTTTGGGTTCTGTAATCAATGAGTAGGAGGCTTGTGGTGAACATATTATTTTGCTTACAGTTTGTTGTTTATGTTAATACTGGGAATCAATTATTCGATGGACTCATTGCTTGGGCATAAGAAATGCTAAAACTGGGGTTGGCTGCATCAGCAGGAAAGTCTGAACTCAATTGATGTCTTTTTTTGTTTCAGTTCAAGACTAAAGGTGGTTCACAATTGAAGGAATACTGCACATCCCTAACAAAAGAGGACTGCCGGCGCCAGTCTAATTCTGTACTTGCATGTGAGAAGGTCGGTAAGAAATATAGTGCATTGACTGTTCTTACAAGTGCAAAAGATGCTTTTGATCATGACTTCTGAAGTCTTGAAATTAATAGTGATCAGAATGCTGCCTCTTGCTTATTATTTTGTTCTATGTTGTACAATTTCAATTCATAGCATGCGTCTAGTTTAAGTTTTATGTTTTGCACTGGGGTCTTTGAACTACCTAATAATGTGCTGTAACGATCTTGCCAGAAAGTGTAACCAAACTAAATGATTGAGCTCTGATTTAATGTTGGCTTGTGGCATCCAACTTTCGAGGATTGCATCATTGGATTTAGTTTTGTCTGTTTCCGAAATTGAAATTTATGTGCACACTGGCTATTTCAGTTCTACTAACTATAATTTGTGTGAACTTATTCAAAGTTGTTTTGAGATGTTCTACTTTTCCTTTTGGTGATTCTATTTCTAGTTTTTATTCTAAAATCACTGCAAATAACTTTAATCTTAGTACTTAGAACTATTGTCCTTTTTTCACATTGCATTTTATTTTCTCCTTTCAGGTTCATTTTAGGCGAATAATTGCTCCACATACCGATGTCAATTTAGGAGACTGTTCTTTTCTGGATACTTGTCGTCACATGAAGGTAAAGTTTACCTTCATTACTTGAGTGATAAATTAATTATATGTTAGTGACTATTTTTCATAAAGTAATACATTGTTGTCTCCATTGTTAGACATGCAAGTATGTACACTACGAGCTTGATCCAACACCAGATGTGTCACACATGATGATGGGGGCTCCAGCTCTCAATCCCCATAAACCATTGAAGCCTCAGCGTGCTGAATATTGTTCTGAGGTTGAACTTGGTCAACCACAATGGATTAACTGTGATATCCGCAACTTTAGGATGGACATTCTAGGGCAATTTGGAGTAATAATGGCAGATCCACCATGGGACATTCATATGGAATTGCCCTATGGGACAATGGCTGACGATGAAATGCGCAATCTTAATGTTCCTGCATTGCAGACAGATGGTCTGATTTTCCTTTGGGTCACTGGACGTGCAATGGAGCTTGGGCGTGAATGGTATGTGTATACTTTGACCATCTGTCAACTGTTGCATCAAATGTATAAGTTATAACCATAGATGCTAAAATTGGATCTGCTTATTCTTTGGCTTTCACTCACAGAGATATCACCATTCTTGTTGCAGTTTAGAACTTTGGGGATACAAGCGTATCGAGGAGCTAATTTGGGTAAAGACTAATCAGCTTCAACGAATAATTAGAACAGGGCGGACTGGCCACTGGCTTAATCATAGCAAGGAGCATTGCCTTGTTGGAATAAAAGGGGAACCATTAGTAAATAGAAATATTGATACTGATGTCATTGTTGCTGAGGTTAGAGAGACAAGCCGTAAGCCAGATGAGGTTAGTGGAATATGCTTCTTATAATTGTGCAGTGAAATATCTATGCAAAATATAGTTCTTCATAATGAGCTTACAGGATGAACTATATTATAATTGTACTTTTTCCCTTGCAATTTAAGAGGTGGTGATCTAGAAGTTATTGCCTTCTACCACATAGTGTAGTAATTATCGTCTTTATTGTATTTTTATCTATTTAGTTTTGTTAAAATTTGGCTAAATATACATGCATTCCTGCAGATGTACCCTTTGCTGGAGAGGATAAGTCCAAGGACTAGAAAGCTGGAACTGTTTGCTCGCATGCACAATACTCATGCAGGGTATGCTTTCTTGACTAACAGATGTAATTGTTAAATGAAATTCCTTCGTTATTGTTCATCAACAATGTTGTATGTTGTGATTTTTGGCATAACTTGATAACGAAACCGGTGACAATCTGAATCTAGCATGGTCTTGGGTTTTCTGTAGGTTAAAATGTCTTTGATAGTGCAAGTAAGCAAAGTTCAGTATCATGCTAATGTGGGTAATAACCCTTTCCCGTATTTATAAGGCCTGTACCATTGTTTTTTCCTTTTTTTTCCTTTTTCATTCGGCTTCTATTGTTTTTGGGGGTTTTCTTAGAACCAAAGGTAAGTGTGAAGGGTTAAATCGAAAGTGCAACTCTTTAAGTAAGAAAAGTTGAGTCTCATGCTAATGAGGGTAGATAGCCATTTTAACCCTTTCCCGTCCTAAAAAAGCCTTTACCATCGTTTACTCTCCAAAAAAAAAAAGGCCTTTACCATTGTCTATTCTCTCTTGTTGTCTGTGGGGCCTTTACTTGAAAATCAAGCTTTCTTGGGCATGGCTTTATGTTTTATTCTAAACTTTTTTGTATCAGGTGGATGTCACTCGGTAATCAACTGAGTGGTGTAAGATTGGTTGATGAAGGCCTGCGTGCACGATTTAAGGCTGCTTATCCAGACGTGGAGGTGCAGCCTGCTTCCCCACCCAGGCCCTCTGCTATGGAAGTAGACTCTAATGCTGCCCAAATGCGAAATCCATTTTCAGTAACAGAACCGAAGTCTACGGCCACTCAATTTGCAGAGCCTGCAGTTCCAGATGTACCCTTTGCTGCTTCCGAAGTGAAGCCAACACCAGTTGACATTGACATGGCCGGTTGAGTAAATTTTAGATCCATCACAAGTACTTGTCCAAAACAGCATCCCGTCTCATCCATCCGTACTGAGATGTTGAGATGAAATCCTGCCTGGCCCTCATCAATTTTGTCAAATGTGTTATAACTCTGTCAAATGTGTTCCAACTCTGTCAAATGTGTCTACCTCCATGTACTTTTAAGATGAGAAAAAAGCTCAAGTGCTGTTATGAGGCCTTGATAGGCTGTGTACCATATATAGTAGAGCATGCAATATTTCACAGTTACTGTGGTTATGAACTTGCTGCTGTTGATCCTTGTGGTGGCAGAGTTACATTCGCTTATTATACAAGCATATTCTTTCAGACTTTCGGTTCATCTCTTCTTTCTTTTTCTTTTTTCAAATCTTATTATGATGCTACATTTAATTGGTGACCCACGTAGATGAGACACTGTCTTGGGCAACATGTGCATCCAGCTGGATACTTAATAATTGTATAATCTATACAAACTACAACTAATCACCGCCACAATCACCGGGCAGTGTTCTGTCAGGCTGTCCTTGGTACTTTGAGATGGAAACCCATGTTATCTTCTCTTCTCTTGATAGCAAAAAAATGAATTTTTTTTTAAAAAAGTAACTTTGTAACTTTCTCTTTTAGGTTAAAATGATCCTTTGACTGCCCTCCGAAACTCGAGGGATTCACCAAAAGAAAGTAAGAAAAGCAATGCTAAATCACATATGAACATGATATGCTTCATTATTCTATTGGATTTCCAAAAAGAATTACAATACCAAAATTCCATATATCAACCAATATGCCAATGTTTGTAGAACCTTTCATGAGAAGAAGAAAAAAAAAAAGAATCCAAAAACAGCCATGTTGAAGCTGTTCAGAGATTGCCACTGAGCAGTGAACATACCACAAATCCAATAACAGCTACCATGAGAACTGGGAAACTTTGTGATGGTGCAGAAGAAGGGGGTGCTGGGATTGTGCCAAAAACTGTGGGGTAAGAAGGTGCAGAATCAGGCAATGCACTAGGGCCATAGGAGGGAGAGTAGGCAGAGCCATTGCCAAAAGAAATGTGGAGCTTCTGGTTCTTCTGGCAATGACCCGGTTCACCGCTGGTGAAGTAAAAGTCCCCCAATGAAGTGAAATTGAACAGAGAGTTGCCATTGTTCATGTACAAGATTGGATCTTTGAGGTTGCAGCTGGTGTAGGCTTGTGCTGTGACTTGAACCACTGAATCTTGGCTTGGTGGGTACAAAAACACTGCATTACACCGGAAAAAAGAACCAATTTTTTTCTTCAGTGGTTTTGTAATGAGAAAACAGAAAGAACAATATTGAAAGAAAGAAACAGAAAACTCTTACAGAGAGAATCTCCCATCTTGAATTCATGGGTTTTTGACCATTTGGTGTAGACTTGTGGATTTGTTGAAGTGGGTATGCCCCAAGCATCTAGATCTCCAACTTTGTACTGGTAGCAAAGCACTTTGGATTGTATTAGCATAAGGACTTGCAAAACCAGTAAGAGCTGAAACCTTGGACTTCTAAGATTGGCCATCTTTAACTCCTCTCTCTCACTTCAAACTTTCTCTTTCTCAAATGTACGAGTGAGTTGAGAGAATCAGTGGATGGGCAAATCTTATTGGCTCGAGGGTGTCTGCATACAGACAACCTGAAGACAAAATTACCAAATGCCCCCTCGTTTTGAGCGAGAGTGGTACATCTTTTTAGATGGTCAAAGACTCAATATCAAACCAGCTGTGTCAAAACTGGTTAAACATCAAAAGAATAATATAAGGATGGTGGAGGTCTCTGTAGGGAGACTTGGTTTGTTCCTGCTGAGTGGTAAACAATACATAGATAGATACAATACAACTTACAAGTAACTACAGAGATGGGCTTTGCTGAAAGGGTTTAATTGGAAAACCAATCACATGGCCAATAATGGCACATGCGCAAGTTGCATGTTCATGACTCTAGCATGAATTTAACTTAAAATGGGTAAGTTAAATAACTATGTTAACATCAGTCGTTTACGCGCTAGCATAGTTCTTAAAAATCCATTAAAGGTACACATTCTTTCACGAGCATGAGCCACTAATGTTATAAGTGCTGATAAGTTGAAAGGTAGAAAAAGGAGAGTGGGGTTGGAGAAATTTTTTTGGAATATGACTAGGAAGATGAATTGAGTTAGTTATTGGATCATGATGTGGAGAAGACATGAACGAACATGAAAGCCTGTCTCCTTTTCACATGGTTTGTCGTCCGGAATTCAGTCAGAAGAGGACACTCATGGGTAACAGCTACTTGGGGGTTGTCTAAGGTTATGTTTTAAAAAAGAAAATAAAACATCCAAGCAATAATTGAACAAAGAGTTACACTCGCTAATTAACTTCCATCTTCCGTCTCCGATGATAGCCGTGAGCATGAGTTTTCCCCCCTCCCCTACCTCCTTTCGGCAAAAACTTCTATTTTCTGTCTACAATTAGGAAATTGTTAAACATTCTCTTTATGCCTTTATGCACTTCAGATTTACAAAAATTCAAGACTACCAATTTCAAATTAGAAATGTAAACCAAATTGATATTATACTTCCACGATGCTGCCTCTAAGTACGTCCAATAGAAACAAAACAAAAATGAGAAGTTGAGGGGAAAAAAGAACGAGAACAAAATGGCCAAGAGGAAGAAGGAAAAAAAAACACAATTTATAAGTGACTGAAGGATCCTTACATTTTCTAACATCAACCATATGACAATTTAGCTGATGCAAGCACCAGTCTACAGCGATTGGAAAATACATTAACTACAGATAGCAACTAGACTCGTTAGTTAGTCATTTCTTTGTGTTATAGCCACCCCCCTGAAACTCCTTCATGCCTTGTTTTCAAGTTGGCATCAATCAGAGACAGCAAACAGAAAACCAAGATGCAGCTTGAACGTTCACATTAGAATAGGTGGCTTGTTTCAAACATCAAAAAATTTCCAGGTGTCTTTTCTTTTATTGTTATATTCATCATCAATTAGTCATTTAATGGCTCTGCTTCTGTGTCCCTCTCATGTGTTGTCCATTCTTCTGGTTCTACGATGAAACATAACATATTCATTATTAACCATCACCACAAGAAATCCACAAGAAAAAGGGGTGGAATGCAATTGTGATAGTATAACATACAGTCGAAATATATCAATTAATTAGGAAGAAGCAAGGACTACAGCAGAACTTACTCGATTTTGGGCCATCAGCAATCACCATAAGCCGCCTCTGCAATACAGCAGCCACAGAGAGGAAAATCGAGCACATACCAAACATGATAGTGATGGGAAATGCATCAACCTTCGAAAAGGAAACAAACCAAAACATTATTTACAGAAAAATGTACAATCATATTTGTATTTCTATGAGAGAGAAACTATTTGAGGATACCCTCACAGTTTTTGTTTTTTGTCTCGTTTTGTTTTTGTTTTTTTGTCAAAAGCATGTACTGGTATGCAGAGCCTCAAACGATCATGAGTACATGAAACCAAATCACTCACATTGTACAGCACAACACACACAAAGATGTTGAGAGGAATGCGGAAGAAGTTCATGATGGTGCTTCTTGCCTCCTCTGGGATGTATTGGGACCTCATTTTCATGATGGATGGCCAGAATATGCCCACACAGGCCTCAAATATGCAGAAGCCAATGAGCTGAGTATACCCTGATAACGACATGCTCCCACCTTTCACATTGGAAGGTGCAATGAATAACTGTACAAATTCATAGACAAGTTGATAACCATGGTTTAAAAGCAAATTAAATTCGTAAATTTGAAGAAGATTGATATATTAAAATTCATGACATACAGTTGTCACAATGGGAAGCAGAAGCGAAGCCGCAGAGACTACAAATACAATCTGCATATAGCTCTCGACTTTGGGGGATGAAGCTGCCATCAGCCGAGATGCAAAAGAGCTTCCCAACATTGAGGCTAGCATGAATGTTGCAAAAATGAAACCATGTGGAATCTCCTCGTCATTTGGGCTCAAAGCAGGAGTCCAGAGGAACACAAAGGTGTACATTGAGCCTTCAAATAAGGACTGTATGGCACCCAGCAAAGCAATCTTCTCATCTGCTCCCAATGGAAAATAATAGAAGAAGAATTTGTGAGAAATGCAAGAGAATAAGGTTAGAGTCCTATGAATGTCAGCCCACCTTTATTTAAAGTCTTATATTATTTAATTGGAGAAGTTTCTTTTATGGACTTAACCATTAATGAAAAAAAAAAGATGGAAAGAGAATAAGGTCAGGGATTCACCGGAAGCAATGGCTACAGCAGCACCCCTGAACTGGGTGAGCAAGTTCTTGTTTTCTGAAGAGTCTCCATAATTTTCACTCCATGATGCCAATATAATTGCCATGCCAATTGCCAAAAAGCATGCAGCAGCATCAAATGGAGCAACTGGGCCAAATCCCAAAGTATCTACCAGAAGATTCCCAAGTAGCCCAGCTACTATGGCAATTAGACCATTGCCAAGAAAAATAGCCTTAGAGAATGTTAATGAAAGCCACTGCTGCTCAAAGCCCCTCTGCAAAAATTAGGGGACACAAACAGTTAAAGAGCAATTGCATCTGTGAAGTAATATTGAATTCTAAAATCCCTCGCGTGATAAAACATGGAGAAAGCAATTCAACTGAATGGAATTTAATTTATGACACAATAACTAAATTGACAAAAATATGATCTGAGCCCTTTGGACCCAATAATTGACTGGTTCCAATTTCTACCTTCTATGACATGCAGAAATATAAACAGTAATATGAGTAGGCTTTCCATACTATCAAAAGAAGGATAAATTGATCCACAGCTTTTGTAAGACTAGCTATAAATTAGAACCTGTCAAGAAAATGAATTCCATAACTGCAATTAATGCAGACCAATCACAGCACCTTATTGTGTTCTGCAACAAGCCAAGACTCAAAAGCTGAAAAAAGTAGAGAAGTGGCAATGCCTCCCAATATGCGTCCCAACAGTAAAACCTTGTAGTCAGGAAAATGTTTGGTGAAGCAGCTTAGAATGTAAGTTATGCAGTACGTAATACATGCCCTCTTCCGACCCCTGAAATTAGCATATCATTATTGAGAATCAATAATATGATCAAGTTTAAGGAAACACAACAGCTAATCAACATGAAACCTTACTGTTTGTCAGCTAGAGATCCCACAACTGTCCCAAACAACATGGATGACCCAAACCCAGCAATAAAAAGCTGTCCAATATCCCCCTTGCTGAACCCATACTGGCTGTAGAGGTAATACACATACGGACCCTGCAACCAATCCCCGGCTATTGCCACAACCAATTTAATCAGATCCAGAATGATAAAACATTTCAAGGATGATTCATAATGAAAAGCAACAATCTACTTCAATTCCAAGCAATTTTCAAATAACATAATACTCTTGACCTTAAAGATTTATATTACCATCCATAACCAATGCAATCAAGTGTAGCACTACAATCAAAAGACTCAGACACCATAGCAAAGAGCAGCACATCAATTACAGCACTGATACCATCAACCAACGTAAACAGATAAGGGAGAAGCAACAAGAAGTAATTAGTAGGGGTTATAATGACTGGAATATAACTAGATCAATAATCTTGAACAAACAGCATGCTTGCTCATTACATAAAATTGCCAATCCAAAAAACATTACATAGTTGAATCTCTAATTTTAGTCCAATTTACATTACTTCACCATGGAATCAAGAACAGTAGTAATTCGATCTGAATATCCAAATCCAAAGGAAGAGCGACATTGCAGTACATACAGCACTTCACCATGGAATCAAGAACAGTAGTAATTCGATCTGAATATCCAAATCCAAAAGAAGAGCGACATTGCAGTACATACAGCACAGAATAAAGAAAACCCAGATGAGAAAAGAGAAAGAAATGACAGATCTAAGCTTACCCATCATGAGAGAGTAGATGAGGAGGTAGTTGTTCTTGAAATCATTGAAAACAGAGGAGGTATGAATGCGATCTTTGTTGTTCTTGCTCAGCTCCAAAGCTGCCACAACCGCAGAGAGAGCCCCAAACAGAAGGAAGTAGAAGAACTCCATTGCTCGCTCTCAGCCTCTCACACAAGCGAAACAAGCTCACAGAGAGAGAGAGAGAGAGAGAGAGAGAGAGGAAGAGAGAGGAAGAGAGGAGCAAAAGCAAAGAGAGTGGTAAGGAGTGCTGTTGTGTAGAATGACGCTTAAAAAGGACTGGCTACCAACCCTGAAGTGGACATGAAGCGAAGTTTAGACGGTGAGAGTGGGATTTGTGAATTGAGAAAAGGCTCTCAAGATTTCCCGGGGATTTCAATTCCCATGAACTCACGCAGACACAAAGACTGGTTTTGGTCCGATGGCGGTGATGGGTTTGTTGACTGTGTTTGTTTATTTTTCTTTTCTTTTCCTTTCTTTTCTTCTAATTGGGCAAATAGGAAGCCAAGATATGATAAGTAAGGTTTTCCTGACTTCTCTTTTTCACTATTTTTTTTCCCGACTCACGCTATAACATACTCTTCCCAAAAATTCTCATAGGTAACTGATTTTTATTTTCTTAATGGCCTCACAGATCAAATTTTAAGTCTCCATCAATACAACTCTTAATTTATTAAATTTATGTCACATACTGATTAACGACTTACTGTCCATGCGCAACTGATAATAACTTTATTTTTATACTATGTCTTCTAAACGTGAAACTTTCATACACGTTCTACTCTTGAAAAATTTAATCATCAAATCTAATACATATGTCTCAAAACTCAATCAGAAAGCAGAAAACTTGTTGCAATTCTCTTAGGAACTTATAAGTATAATGCAAACCATCTTTTAATCCACAAATTGGCATGGTAAGGTAAGAGTATCATAGTGAGTTAGGCAGGGTGCACATAATTACACTTGAGTAAATGAATATTTCCATTTCAATTGGTAAATTACCTGCCAAACCCATATGTTCTAGAGGCTTGGTGCATATAATATAAGCCAGCTATGAAGACAAAAACTTGCAATACACTTTCTTATTCATGACAGCATCGTCGTAACATGTCACATCTCTTCTTTTACTTGGTCGGGTTTTTTTCCATGTGCCTTGTTTTTTGACCAAAAAATACAGTCGGCAAACTTGTCATTCCGAAAAAATATCCATTAATTTTTTTATTAGAAGAAAAATATTCATTATTATTATTAAGACATGCTAAATAGTAAATCCATTAATAGCTAAGAAAAATAATATTTGTTATATAATTTGGCCGGCGATTTGACCTTTTATTATATGAAAACAGTCCCCATGGGCCCAAACTCCACTAGAAAAATAAAAAAGCCCACTCAAATTCACAAGTCCAAGATTCTAAGTTCTAAAGTTTTCTTCAATATTTTTCCTCGCCAAGAAAAAGAAAAAAAAAACAAGAGTTTTCATCATTCGCTCCAGTACTTCTCATCAGCATCTTTCTCATGCTCCTGCTGATCATCAGAGCCGTCGATCAAGTTCATCTTAAACCTCTTCACGTCCTCCACCGCAGCGCTCCTAAACAGCCCAACATCAACGGCTCCCGACACCATGTGGTATCCACGTGTCCAGAGATCGCGAGGCCCGTCGTGGGGCATAGCGAAGCCAGCCAAGTAGGCCCCACCCTGTTTTGGGTCGGACCCCAGCACGGCCTTCTCGGCGGCCTCCATCATTTTCCTAACCTTCTTGTTTGCGGGGTCCCACAAGTACCCTAGGCTGGCGCTCAGATCCAACGGCCCCATCTGAATGCAGTCAACCCCATCGACGGCCGCGATGTGCTCTGCGTTCTTCACGCCTTCCTCGCTCTCCACCTGGCACATGATCAGCAGCTGATCCTCGTAATTGCTCAAATACCCTTCGTCGATGCCGTAGCTGGAGGCCCGAACGACGGTGTGGGCCGACCCGCGGACGCCGGCGGGCGGGAAGCGACAGTAGGAGACGGCCTTCTTGGCGTCCTTGGAAGATTCGATCATGGGGAACATGATGCCTTGGGGGCCCAGATCTAGGGCTTTCTTGGCCCAAGCTGCGGAGGCCTCGGGCAAGCGAAGAATGGCCGGGGTTTGAGCGGCGGCCAAGGCGTGGAGGCAGGGGAGGGCTTGGGAGATGCCGCCATGGCCGTGCTCCATGTCGACGACGACAAAGTCATAGCCGGAGAGGCCGGCGATCTCGGCGAGAGTTGGGGAGAAGGAGAGGAGGAAGAGGCCGTAGAGAGTCTCGCCGTTTTGGAGGCGGGACTTGAGGTTTTGGGGGGAGGGGGAGATGGAGGTGGTGGTGGTGGTGGTTGTGGCGGTGGAGGTGTGGTCGGAGGAGGAGGTTGATTTGATGGGTGAGGCGGAGGTGGCAGTGAGATTTAGCGTTTTGAGTGGGGAGAGAGGGAAGGAGATGAGTTTGGTGGGTTTTCTGAGAGATAATGTGGGTTTGGTGGCTCTGATAGTGGTGGTGGTGGTGGGGTAAGTCAGTGTGGCCATGGCTGCTGGTTGTGAGTTTTGGGGTTTAGGGGAAAAAGTTGTGATTTTTCTTTTTCACTTCACTGACTGGTAGGGGGGAGAGAGAGAGAGAGAGAGAGATCTATTTCATGACATATTAACACAGTCACGTGTGCAGCTGCATGGTGTACTCTTGGAAGTGTGGCAGTGTAGCTTGTAAGTTGTACTTTACTGAGCAACAACTTCAATGGCGTCCGGAGAGAGATTGAAAACAAACACAGAGCCCAAAACTTATAAAAGAAGATAAAAATTGCAGAGGTTCGAGTTGAAGGAAGCAAGTTGGCTGGTGATCCAGATTTTGCACTTTTAAAACCAAAAGAACCATTTGGTTACATTTCATTTCTTTCACCATTTAGTATGCAAAATGATTTGGTATGGATTTCAAGCATCTGAATAATTATAAAAATCGTCTACGAGGCCAAATCAATTTCTGCTCAACTGAGAAAATTGCATATTCAAAGTCATTGAGAGAACGTATGCATATTCCAGTTTGTGGGTTCTGAAATCACTGCATGAATGTTTACTTAACACTTTGTAGAAACCAAATAGGGAAAATTTCATCGAAGGCGATATCGTAGGAACATAAAACAGGCTAAAGTTTAAGAAATTCGCAAAGATCCAGCTGAAATGCCCAAAATTTACTAATCTGAATTAGTAATCACACCAATGCAAGTCAATCTTGTCTATCAAAGCTTCAAACTAGCTTTTGCCATGGCCAGAGCGCCCTCATATGTTTGATTTCCTCCAATAAACCCGCTCATGTGGACAAAAACACATCCGGGGATCGCAGCCTCCTTCGAGAGCTCCTCATCCCTAAGTCCTCGCCATTGCAATGCTAGAGGCTTTCGGCTCTCAAATCTATCAGGAGCTATTGCCACCGCTTGAACTCGCCAGTGTTTGCTCCTATCATCCTGCACATTGTTTTTATTTTGATAATAAAATTAGCGACTCTTCTCAGATAAATTTGCAGACAAATTAGCTACACAACTAAAAATAATGTCAAGGGGGCAAAAACATTACAGCAGAAGAAAAGAGACAGAAACCACTGCAGACCATAAACAAAAAAAAAAACTGAATCATTACAATCCATTGCAATCCAAGAAAAGATAACAAGGACATGAGATTGATACAAGTACCTGATAGAGAACATATTTTATGGGAGGGTCAATCTTCATCTCTTCTTCAAGTTCAAATAAATGAAGCTTCCACTGTAGGGCATGAAAATATACAGATGTCTCAACTAAGCCCAGATATGGATAACAAATCGCTTAAAAACATTTGAAGATGTAATGAAGAAGTTCTAAAACTAATAGAATCAGCATCAGTTATAAGAGACAGCTTAAGCCTAAAGTTATTAAATTGGCAAAAAGAATACAGCACTGCATACTTACAGGGCAGAATCGAGTCAAAACCATGATTTCTCCACTAGGATCAACACTCCATCTTGCTAAGAGACACTCCATTACAATAGACCGTGCTGGTAACCAAGATTTTGCATGAAAACGAACACTCTGAAATTCGGAAAAAGGGTCATTGAAAAGGGATGTAAAAAAATAAATCCCAATAAAACACAACCTCATTAAAGCATTCCCCTTATAGTTATGTGCTCAGAGACGTGAAAGAAAATTATTAGATACAGATGTTTGATGTGAATTTACCAAAATAAATAATAGAGAAAATTCTACATATCTGTTAAGTCTTGATGAAAGAAAGACGCACACTTAAAAACTCACTGCCAGCCAGTTCCATGGCTCGATGAAAGGCTTCATTCTCCTTCTCAGGTGATTGATCGGGATCTATCCAATCCAAATTCAACTTGCCCAGCCTTGAAGACAAATGTGTGTTATTCACATATCTTGGAGGCTGTTCCGTATCGTACTGATTGATCCCATTGTCAACAGCATCAATTGCCTGTTACAAGTAACCAATAATGTTAAAAACACAGTTGGACTAACAAAAAATGCATGTCAAATTAATTTGCTGAACATTCAAGAAAGCGAAAAGAGTAACTACAAATAACATTTCAATAAAACTTTGAAGAATAGAAACATCTGCAAAACGTGCATCCTTATAAGGGTTTTTGTCTCTTTTATAACATAAGAGGTTTGTCAGTATCTATGAGTCCATTTGAGTTCAAATTCGCATGGAGTGAAAAATAAAGATGCAGAACTTGGTAGTACCTCCATAAAGCTTTTGTAAACAGCCAAGAACAACCGATGCACATCTAGGTGGCCTTCATCAACTTGAAGCTCCTTGGCTATTATTTCCTTCCCAAAATGCTACAACCAGATTTAACACAAGTAAAGTTACACACTTGAAATGCCCATAGTTCAAACCTCGAAAAAAGAGAGAACCTTTTGAAAGTAAATACCTTGTAAACCAGACCAGCACTACTCAGCTTAGTCTTAAACCCATGGCCAAACATCTCCTCGAAGCCCTTCTGGTGATGATCATACCGATCCCTACTAGGATCATATACACCCCCAACATCAAGCACAGCATCCAGACCCTCCAAAACCTAAAACCCACAAACAAACAATAACAACGACAATAAGAAATCACAAATTCCTGCAAGAGCTTCCAATTTCCAATCAAGTAACTTCATTTTGCATCAATTTTCTCGGGAACCAAACAGAAAATGGTGAAGGGTTACAAACCTGGGGGTCACGGGTGCGAATGATTTCGGCGTTGGAGAACTTGTCGGTGAGGCGAATCATGAAGCAGCCGAGGGCTTCGTCGCAGTGGAAGCTGCCATTGTGAGTGCCGACTCGCTTAGCTGAAGTAGCGGTAGCCATGAGAGAGCGAGAGAGGTGAAGGCGCAGGTGATGGTGGTGGCTGGGGAAGACGAATGGTAGCGTGTGCTTAAACCCTCTGCCTACTAGCGGAAGCATGCCTTAGCGGGATTTCAATAGTCGGGCGTTATTTTATTTGCACTATTTATTTTTATTTTTATTTTTGTTTTGTCATTAATTTTGCTCAGCACTTAGTGTACATAATCATTTTGGAATTTGTAATTTTTTTTGTTTTTTCAGAAACTATATTTCTAGAAAGAAAAAAAATTCAGTACAAAATTATATACTTCCTCAGAAATTTAAATACTAAATATCCTTTTGGGAGGGAATTATTGTTTGAGTGTATTCAACTTTTTTTTTTTATAAAGTACAAGCGATAATTTAAAGGGGTTACTCACACACACTACCACGGTGTAATTGATTTTTGAATTTGAGATCGTTATTGAGATCGTTAGTTTGCAAATTAAGGCCCTTTTTAACTGGGTTAGACCCGTTGACACAATCACATTTATTTCGGAAATTTTTGTGTTAAATCCTTCATCCCTCACTGTTGTTGGTATAGAAAATGAAAAAAAAATCTTAAATTTCATCTCTCAATATCGTTGGTATTGAAAATGAATATGGATATTTTAAAAAAAGATAAACAAAGTTCTTAAATTTTAAACAAGAGGTCATTTGAAAGATAATATAACAATATAGCTTAATTGCTTGAGAGAAATAAAGGGGAAAAAAAAAGTTCAGGGTGAGATAAGATATTTTTTGGGTGTAGCACTTGCAAATGGAAATTGGGGTGAGTATCTTCCTCAAACAAAATATGAAATAGGATAACAAAATCCTCCAAAAATCAGTGATCACCATGCCCTTAACCATAAATCTCACTTGGGTTTCCTCCACAATCCCCATATCTCTCCTCCCAAGAGAACTCATCGCAGCATCAAAAACCTGCTCTACAATCTTTCACAGAGCTTCTTCTCCTTCAACATCTCGTCCCCTCATAGTCAAATGCACGAGAAGCGCCTCTGGAGAGAGCGGTAGCTTGAAGGACGCACTGAGTGGCATTGTGGGAGAGCAAGTAGAGGAGCTCTTGAAAAGAGAAGAGAACAGGGATTTGCTTGATGGGTTGGAAAAGGCGTCTCAAAGGGTAGAGATGGCTAAGAGAGAGCTGGCTGAGATTGAGAAACAAGAACTTGAGGCTAAGCTTGTGAGAGATTATATTAACCAACTTGAAAGCAGGGCTTCTGAGGTTCTCATTCTTCCCAATTCCCATTTTTTGTATCCATTTCTGGGTTTGTTTCTGAGTTGGGTTTTGGTTTTAGATGCCTTCTTCTACTTCCTTGAAGTGAAAAACTTAAAAATTTGGGATCTTTATGTATATAAATTAATGTTTCCCTAATTTTGTTATTATTCCTGTGGTTGATGTGTGGAAATTGTCAGTTTTATTTGATGTTTAGATAATTGGTTGTTATCTAACAAATTAAATCTGCTCTATGAGAGGAATTGTGTTCATTTGATTCCTTCTTCTGTTGTTGAGACATTTTCTGTTGCTGCTTACGGTTGGTTCTCTGTGAATTCAATATAGCATGATATTGCTTGCACATGGTTGTTCATGAAACGAGTTAATTTTGTTCAAATATAATGACAAGTTATGTGTTCAGTTTATTTGTTATTTTGTTGTTTTTGCATTTTTTGCTGCCACTGATAATAGACTGTTGCGTGCATTAAAGATTGCAGAATGTCAAAAGGAGATATTAGAAGCAAAAGCCATGGTTGAAGAAGCTGAGCGTGCCCTCTCACAAGATGGGGATCAACTTGGAGATGGATATGGATTTTCAGAGACTGGAAATGGGGAAATTGACAAGGATAAAGAGAGATGGCAATCCATAAAAGCAGCTTCTATTTCTGCCCTTGTCGGCACTGTTGCTGGATTGCCCTTCTCCTTCACTCAGGTGTCCAGCAGTTCAGAGCTGATACTCCCCCTGGCAATCACATTTGTTAGCTGTGCACTATTTGGAGTTACCTTTCGATATGCAGTTCGAAGAGACTTGGATGATGTTCATCTTAAGACAGGAGCACCTGCAGCTTTCGGCGTTGTCAAAGGTACTAATTACACCACTATGCAGAACAATTGAAATCTTCAAGCATATCAAACAGTTTTGAGATATGACACTGCGTGCTTAGTTTTGCCTTGAAATGAAAATGTATTTGCCTTTTGCAGGTCTTGCTACACTGGATGGTGGACAACCTCTTGAGCTAAATGCTGGTAGCTTCTTATCACATGCTTTTGATGGTGCATTGTATGTATCTCAGAGTCTTTTTGTTTTTCTTTCTGCTGCTATTGCCCTGGATTATTGTTTTAAGGCAAGGCTCTTGAGTCCTTTTCCTATCAAGAATCCTGTATCAGGATCCAATTCTTGATGATGTTCTAATCAAGCAAAGGTGTTCATACTTAGGAGAAATGCAATTACTTTGTATCAGAATTGCAGAATGTTTGCTGAACACAG